TTTATACAGATTTAAGGATATTCCATGAACTTCACAGAACAGATCTGGCAGATGAACATCACTGAAAAATAATGTTTTACAACTTTTTAAAAAGTTACCAGCTTCAGGTACATGCATAAATAGTGTATGTTGCTCTACAACAAAAGATAATTTCTGCTGTATGTATCTTCTGTAAGTGTGTAGATATATAGATACATATATGTGGAGACATGTATGTGTCTATATATATGTAAAAAAATAAAAGTCAGGCACAGAGGGTGTAAAAATGAAAGTGTAGCAGTCCCTGTATGAAGTCAGTATGTACTGTTCTTCCTCTAGGAAAATGTGAGTATAAGATGAAGTGCTGGTGTAGCATTGGGCATGTATGAATACCTAGCTGCATTTTCTCTAGCCTTGCATTAATACATACCAAGGAAAGTAACTCTCTTAAATCAAAACAACAGCAGTAGTTTTGATAAGTGTCAGCTAATTTGTAAGCATTGCTGAGGGCAGTGTATTTAAACAGCCTTACAAATGCAGAGGAGAAAAAGAACACTGTATCTGTTTGAAGTGAAATTGCCAGAAGGATTTTGTACAAGGAAGATGATTCACTTTTGTAACAGCTGTTCCAGAATAAGTGGCAGAGATTTCAGTATTCTCTGCCCATCTGTGGGTCTTTCTTGAGAACTGCAGCATCCATGCGTATGTGAGGTTAACTGCTTGTAGAGTTAATTGCAGCAATACCTCTTCAAGGTCAAGCGCTGTACAAGATTCTGAAGTGTTAGTCATTTACGTAAATAGGAATGGCTAGATGAGCTAAAATACAACTATTTTTCTGGAGAGTTTTACATTCCTATGTTCCAAAAATATCTTTATTTCCTCTTCTTTTCTGTGGGTTTTGTTTGCAGCTGTGGGAAAGTGCACTCAAAGTTGTCTTTGTGCTTTTTTCTGAAAGCAGGCAGAAGCGTGCTCGTTCTCATGTCCTGTAGTAAAGCATTCAAAGCCGTGTAACTGAGAGCCTTATTTCCTCCTCCTCTTTAGTTTCTCAAGATTGCGGCTGCTGAGGAAAGCTCGCACTGTAAAGAGAAAAATGCTGCTGAGATACCTTGGGCCATTTCTGTGGAGTGGAGCATCATGTGAGCTAATAAACTGGCCTTACAGTTTGTCTGAAATCAGTGAAATGAGGGATGTCTTAAGTGAATATGTTCTTGGTAACTGCTGAAGAGGTGCAGTTGTGTTTTGGTGTAGCTGGAGTGTAGTTCACTGCTGAAATGCTTGTGTTTAAGGTAGTCCAATGGAAAGATGCCGAGAAGGAGGTGGCAAGGTCAGGGTGATAGATAAGTGACTAGATAGATCTTTTGCATTCTTCTTGGATGTCACTACAACGAATTTCTGCTTCATGAGGCTAAATCTAGAGCTTTAAACCATCCAGAAATCCTGGACCAGATGTCAGACCTGCCACCAGGTGATCATCCTGTCCTGTGTGGTCTCTTTTCTGGGTGAGAGCAGGAGGGCTAGAAACCCTCTGATGAAAGTGAAAAAGTGCAATTCTGTAGCAAGAAATTAATTCTGCCTCTGCAGTGGTAATAATCTCTGTAAGGTTTGCCCAGCAGATGCCAGCAGTGAATTAGCCCAGAGCTTGTGGAAAAATAAAAGGGGCTGAATATGTAACTGTTGCAAATGCTTCACTGCTTAGAGCATGATTGCTTGAAATAGATGAATTCTTTTTCATTAAGGTTAATTTTTACTGTGAAGATCCTCATTTTATTCTCTGAATCCCTGAGAATAGAGTGTTAGACTGTCTCTGTATACAAGTCAGAAAACATTCAGGTTTAGATTTGGTCCACAATTCATAATGGCCTTCCACATAAACAATGGGATGAAGTTACTTATTTCAAAGATGTTTTAGGTTTAACCTTTTTGCATCTTACACATTTTTTACCTGACCTGTTCTCTTCCTGTTTACTGTCCTCTCCAGAGTAAGAGCATAACTCTTCTTGTTTACTGTCCCTCTCAGTTTGAATTACAAATTTGACCTGACATTAAGCTGTTCCTTTTTGTACTGGAGGGAAAAAAAAAAAAAAAAAATATCTAAGTCATATGGTATTATCCTTCACTTTCATTGAACCATCTGAACTCCTGGAACCAGAGCTGAAAACTGTCAACAGCTCTTGAGGCAAAGCAAATAGACTTAGCTAAAAGGGGAGTTCAAGCTGGAGAATCATCCTGTAGAAAGTTTAGAGCAGTTCAACGCTGGAGGAAGGAAAAAATTATCTGTCAGCAGAGCCCCATCCTGCCCAAAAGCCATAACGTTAGATATCTAATGCTGTTCCTTTAAAGATTAGGCTCATATTCAAGATTTCAGTGGAAACCAGATTTTGGTTTTACTAAAGTTTATTTTTGGTTTGCTGTTTGCAAAACTTATGTTCCAAACAAGAGGAAGAGGTCTAGTCTCTCATATCAGGACTTCCCTAATTTAAGGAAGATACAAGGAGGACTTGTTACTGCATGGATCACCCCCTCAATAGTAAAATTGATACACATATGATTTTATGATACACATAATACAAGTCAATTCCAGGTCCTTCTGAACTGTACAGAATATAATGTGTTATCCACATAATTATGTTGAGAACTGTCGTTATGTACCTTTTCAAAAGGATTTCCTTGAATCAAGGCATTAAATAATACAAATAAAGTAACACTGTCATGTCACAATGCAGTTGAAATGCCTTGTGATTTGGGCTTTCACGTAGGATCATAAACACTGAAAAAATGGAGTTCACTAGCAATATTTAATCTTTACCCTTAAAAGATTCCTATTTGAAAATGTAAAGAGCCACTGAAAAGTAAAGTCAAGTCACATGGAACTGAATGTTCATTACAAATAATGATCATTATATGAGTCTAGATTATTGTCATTTTATGTTCTTGGCAATTAGTATCTCTCATTTAAAATATTTATTTTTCCTTTTGGCTGAGTTTCCTTAAAAACTGGAACAGTCATCTTAAAAACAATGATCTCCCAGGCAAAATAAATTACGTCTTGGAATTATATCAAGACTTTTAACTGAAGACGATGTTTCAAAACAATCTTTGTGCAGAAATGAAACTCACTTTCTCCCTTTAACTCATCTTTCTACCTACTGCTTCTCTGGGTGTTTCTGTCTGTAAATCAAACATATGCTTTTTTTCTTGTTTTCTGGAAGACTTCCAAAGGTTGGGGGGAAGTCTTACAGGAAACCTTTCCAAAACATATTTAGGACTTGTTCTTCCTGTGCAGATAAAACCCTCAGATGTGTTTTAATAGCTGAAGCTGGAAAACTGTAATATTTGGTTTGGGGCACTTTTTTTTTTTTTTTTAATTAAAAGGTAGAAATTTAATGGCTATTTCTCCTATTAGAATTTGCATCAAGAGTTTTACTTCATTGTTACTTCCTTGTTTCTTTCAATGAGTTCCAGAAGTGCTAATAATTTGAGATTTATCTTGGTATAAATGTTTATTTGATCAAATGAGCATGTATTGCATTCTGAGACTTCCTTATTGGATTGTCAGGTGGAAGTGCCTGTAGTCTCTGCCTTTCATGAAATTTTCTGTATGGCTTTGATTTGAAAACCTCTGTCTTCGAGTTACAAAAATAATCCAGAAGAAAAGAGCTATACATACAAGAAAGATACAGCTTTAATTCTTTCCTAGATACAGGCTCAGATTTTCCAGGTGTCCTGGAGTCTAATTGCATATTTTATTAATCTAATTTTGTCTTGTGTGACTATTGATATACCACATAAATGGAATCCGTTCTTAGAATACTGTCAGTTCACAGAAATAGAATTTTGTACCAGTGCAATACCACAAGTTAATTGTGCAATGTCTAAAGTGATTGCCTCTAATTAATTTTATATTTCTTTCTGTTTTTCTTCCTCCAGGGACCATACGTCAGACTTCTGGCTTTTTATTACTAACATTCTTAAATTATATATTCTTTCATTGATCCCTTGGAAAACTCAACCCTCCCTGTTTAACAGGTATTTCTTTTGGGGCAGCAAGGAGTAGAGATGAACAAAAGCAGTCAAGGCAACAATATATCATCAATATACATACTGACATTTGCAATATTCCCATCGTTATTTGAAGTATGTCATTAGGAGAAGCTGCTGAGTTACTATCTAACTTAGTGTGGTGTTTGTTAGTTACATGGTTTGCATATACTATCATTATTATTAAACCTTCCCTTGCTTATAAACTACATTGAAATACTGTTTGACAAGGAGAGAAGCAGAGGTAGATGATTATCAGTGTTAGGACCCAACTAAAGAAGCATGCCGACTTTCAGTTTACATCACATCTTTTGCACTACTCTGTCACGTATCAGGAAATGCTCTGATTTTAATGAGACAAAAGTAGAAATTAATACAATCAAATCAGATAGTAGTTGTTAGTCCAGAGGGATATACAGATGCTTTCAGGGATATTATGGTGTGGCTAGCATTATGTGTGTATTCAAAATAGGCTTTAAAAATAGTGTTAACATAGCCAAAAATGGAGGCGGGGGGAGAATGATGAGTAATTCAAGGTATGTGTGTCTGCTTCTTTTCTTCTCCCCACACTCTTGTTACTCCCTGACTTCCACAGAAGGTAAATATTAGTGTTCCCACTCTTTTAGTCACAATGCTGAAAAAACCCAATGCTTACATCAGTAAAATTAAAGTCAGTACTCCTAAGGAGGGTAAATATTAACTTTTCCCAGCTTTCCCAGGAGTTATTAAATCTTCTTATGCTATGAGCCTAACTAAATTACCATGTAAAAATTTATTTTTGTCAGGCATGTAACCCATGGAGTACCAAGGTTTGTTTCACAAATGTAGCGGGGGATTGACCTGGATTCAGACGGTTCAGTGGCTCTCAGGAGGTAGGAAGCTAATTTTTTGTTTTCATTGCCACTAGATGACATGGTCCCTCTAAGAATATGTATCATGATACCAAAATGGACATGTATAAACCACAAAAACCCCAGATTATTCAGGATTTAACTGAGGTTTTAATCAATCAAGGCAAGAAGTTAGATTTAAAGGTTTAGAAAATGAGATTTAATGGGTAAGTAGACATTTCAATCAATGCCAAAGTATTCATCCTTGTATATACAGAGAGAAAATTCATATATATCTATCTATAAGAGAAAACAAAAATATTTCTGAACTATTTTATAAATAGCTAGAATCCAAGAAGATAAAAATCTGTACTTTCTTGTGGGATATGCAACATATTCAGTTGCATATATAAATGAGGAAAAGAATTTTGCCTCTTGTTCTATTTTACATTTCCTAAGAAAAAGGAAATTCTTAACTCCTTATAGTTACATTTGTGTTCTAGATTCCTGAACCGAATTCCTGGTCTGAAGAATTCAAGATGTAAATAAGGAGACGATTATGACAGTGAAAAGAATTATACAAAGTAAGTCAGGTCCACCAAAATACACTTGGAGTATGTAGATCAGAACTACCAGAAGGAAAAAACTGGCCCCTGTTACTACATAATCAAAAATCTTCAGAGCAGTGTGTTTATTCTACTGAATAAATACTATTATTAGTACTTATAGAATCAAAATAGGATGGTAACATCTTCCCACACCAGATTTCCTTGTCCATCTCTTTGTTATTAGCTTGCGAATGTTTGAATACTGTCTCTGCTCTAGATACAACATTAACCTTTTTTTCAAAAAATGAATATTTTCAAAATTTTTTATATTTAAGAAAAGCCAAAAATAATTAGCATTAAACAATTATTTATCTCTTTGACGTAAAAGGTGTTTGACTGTATTGTTGAAAATGAATCCCTTGGGATGCTGTAATCTTCATAACTTCCCCATTTAGAGTGTCATCTTCAATTATTGTTATCAGTCCCTCAGCAATTATTGATGGGCTGGGAAAAAAAAAAAGTTGTTATTTCAGAATCATGAGGTAATAGAACATGTGAAAAGGGCAAGTAAAGAAACTTGATGTAAATCTATATACCCTGAAAATTAAACAATCTGGTATTTGAACCAATTTATTTTCAAGAAAAGCAGAGGTGGTATGAGTGCTTCAGGAGAGAAATTCAGTCTCCTCAATCAGGACATACAACGTAAAGCGGCAACTTTACAAATCATCTTTTGTTTGCTCTAGTTACTGCTAAATCCCTGCGGACATCCAGCTGCCAGTGGGCTTCCTATTAAAGTTTTCTCTGTCAGAGCAATGGACAGAAGTAATCCTCACACAATCCTCTGCAGCTCTTTGCTGTTGATTTAGCCTGTTTCTGTAGCAGGACTGACATACAAATTAGCGAAAGGAGAATTTTGTCACATGGGGTTTTCTGTGGTCAATAGGTGCAATATATTTTACATATGAAAAAGTGTGGGTGAAACAACGCAATCATACAATTTCCTTTGTGCAGAAGTATCTGAGCAGGTAATTGTTAGAGACCGAGAAAGTGTCAAAAAAATACCACTTTATGCTTGTCTTGTTGTCACACTCTTTCCTAGCTGTCTGCTTTTGGCCTTTGTTGGCAATATCGTAATGGGCTAGGTCACTGACCTGATCCACCACCGTCGATACTGTGCTTTTATGAACTTAGTCCAGTTTCGTCAGTTCTTGGACTGATTTCTATCTTGGTTCACTTGCAGATTTTGTGGAAATTCAATATAAATGACATACCCTGTATCTCACAAGTTTGATTAAACAAATTTATGGAAGAACACCAAGGGCTATTAAAAACTAATACACCATCTTTAACTTGGGAATTTGATTTGCACTTTGCTGGGAAATGGGAATGCATAAAGGGAAATATCACAATGTAGGTGATACTCTTAAAATAGCCTTAGATATCTGTCATTTGTTCTTTGTATATAGGATTACACATTTCATAGACTTTTGTCCGAGGCAGCATTTCCCTTTTATTTTAATTTTGCTGAAAGTGTTATTGTGTGTGCTTGTTCTTCATTAACAAAGGGAAAAAACCCACTGTATCTGACTTGACTTACTCCATCACGCCATAGAACTGCATCATATTTTTGATCTCATCCTTATATGAAAAAAATTGTCCCATATTCTCTTCTTTATCTATTGACTGAAGAATCGGTGTGTTGACAAATCCTGGACAAATTGTGTTGAGTCTCACACCGTAGTTTTCCATATTAGCAGCTAACTAGAAAAGAGAAAAAGTTAGGTATTCGTCATCAACATTTTAAAACAGTATTGTGTAGGTAACTTTTCAAAGAATGAGATTTACCACTAAGTACTTTTCAGCCTTGCCTAGTAAGCAAATTTTGTTACTACTGATTGTTTTGTTTCAACAACTAAGTTTGAAGCACGTTTTCTCTAGTAATCATACTAAATTACTAGAAAAAACCATCTGTTTTGTTGGGAGAACAATTCCACAAGAAAAAAACACTCTTTCCATGCAGCTGTTTTTTTCTAACATTTTTGTTATTAGTGCTCTTGGCATGTCATTAACAGTATTCTAGGGTGATGATATAAGTCTCATAAGAAAAACCAAGTAAAAAATATCTCCCAAATGCTTCCAATTTTATAAGAACTTTCTTATTAAAAGAAAACTATCTGAAATCAAATCGAGATTTAACTCTCAGATTGCATTTACCTCCCTCACATCAACAGAAATAGAATTTGGTCTCTACCCCTAGAACTGTAATGCTAAACATTTCCACCTGCCCTATTGTCCCTGCCAAGGGATGAGTCTATCACTGAGCATCTCCACAGGAAAGTCCCTGTGAACTCCAGGAAAGAGGCAGGAGTTTTTTCAGGAAGCAGTTCAGGAACATGATGAAAGCAAGCAGCACAAATTGTTCTGGGAATGGTGGGACCCTTCGTTTGTGGTACTACCAATGCATGTGTGTAGCAAAGAAGTCTGATCAGCATCCAGGCATATGTTCAATGCTGGATGAACTTTCTTAGTGATGGCACAGAACCTATGAACTATACATGATATATCCAAGAATAACCATAATTGTTCAACACTGAGTTTCTATTTATTTAACGTTTAACAGGAATCCTTTCTGGTTTTATGTAAATCACATGTCATTTTCATGATATGGTAGCCTGCCCTTTTGGTCTGGAGAAGAGAAACTGAAATCCTAGATGTTTTGTATCATCATTGCCCAATGTTAGGCTCAAGAATAACCATAATTGTTCAACACTGAGTTCTATTTATTTTAACGTTTAACAGGAATCCTTTCTGGTTTTATGTAAATCACATGTCATTTTCATGATATGGTAGCCTGCCCTTTTGGTCTGGAGAAGAAAAGAAACTGAAATCCTAGATGTTTTGTATCATACCTGCCCAATGTTAGGCTGTACTGCCTTTCCTGGTAAATACAGTGATTCACTACGTTTATTATTCTTTTTCTCCTCGGCATTCTCATGTTCCATAGAAACAGCATTTTCTCTAATTTTCTAGCAGACCCTTTATTTTTGAACTTAGATGATGATGGTTATATTATCATGAGAAAACAAAAATGGAAAACCAGGTGTGAGGTTCACGCTGTGGCTAATATGTTATATGCAACACTTATCCATATTAATCTGTTTAGGTTAATCTAAAAAAGAAGATATTTGGGTGGGGAGTGGGGTCGTAAAATATGGATAAACTATCCAAATTATCATTTCAGGTACTTTATTCTGGAAATTAGATTGGAAATCTTATATGAGTAGACTATCTTTAAGCGTAGCCTATGAAAGTGTAATCATATTTGCTCCCTCCAAGTTATTTTATCTTACTGCTTATTCAGTTTAACTAGGAAGTTTTGGAGTCAGAGGCTAAGACTTACTATATGGTTATATAACATCTAACATGTCTCATCCTGAACGTGTCATTTTGCATTTTCAGCGTATTAAGAGTTGGTAAGAATAAATAAGGGTAAACATGTTTGTGTTCAAGTCATTTTTTGTACACTTTAGTGCCTGTTTATCTTAAAAAAAGTCATCAACCTGACTTACAAATAAGGAAAACAAAATGTTAAATGACTGGGATGGAGTTATGAAAAATATTTCTAAAGCTTGGATAAGAATTTGACTTTTAGGCTCCTCCCACCATCCTTAAATTACTTTGCAACATCTTTCTTCCATGCTCCCAAAACCTCAAATCGGTCATAAACACACACATGCCTTACTTATTCCATCTTTGGATTCCCTTTGTGAAAGGAAGGAACCTCCACTGCTTCAGACACTTCGTTTTCTTTAAGAAAATTAGTTCCAGTTTTGTGACAATAGAGAGGGAACACGAAAAACTTAGCGTGTTCCCAAGGAGCTGCTGATACTGTTTTCAAAAACACATACTTACTGCTATTGACCGTGTGAATCCAATTACACCATGCTTTGTAGCACAGTACACAGGTTGGAATGCAGCAGGCATGAGTCCTTTAAAATAAAAAGGTAGCTGAATAAAGATGTTGGGTACTCCTATTTATGATTACCTTAAACACACATCTAGGTCTATAGTGTAAAAAATGAGTGATGGATTTATAGAGATGCAACAAAATAGATTAGTAAAAATTTACAAATTATATTTTGTAATCTGAGATAGGCTGGGAAAAGATATGAGATGGATAAAAACATGAGGAGGCAAAAGTAGAGTAATAAAAAAGTATAACTTTTAAAAGGAAAAGTTGTATCTGTGAAGTATGACTTAAAATGGAGGACAGAGTCTGGAAGAAAACACTCAAGGATGAGATTTTTGAGCCGCCTTCTATGAATCTGTAAAGTATTTAAAGTATATAAAGTATGTAAAGTATTTTAGATAAACTTTGCTTACATCCTAACTGCTGATATGCAAACTGGAGACCTGCAATCATTTACAGTGATTTCAGGGAGGAAGGATGGGAAAAGGTAAGGGACATAGCAAAATCCATTTTGACTACTGTAACTGATTTAATATGATCTTTGTAATATATCAAAACATAAATATAATGTCTGACTTAAATCCCTTGCTTGTGTTGCTTCTGTGGAATAGTAACAAAACTCAGCCTCAGATAAAACTTTTCCCCTAGCCCTAATGCAAGAGAGAAGAATGCGTGTGCTGCACAGCTGACTGAAGTGCAGTCAGCCAATACATCTGCCTGTGCAATATTGTTACTGCTTATTTATTTGACAATGTGGTTAGTACTATGACAAAAACATACTCTTTTGCATAGTGGTTTTTGCTCAAAGAAGCAACTATAAACAAAGTAATTCAGACTTGATGCACCAGCTCTGTCATCGTAAAATTTATTTTACCTACAATACTACTTTGGTAATATTTCATAGGTAATAGTTTTTTTTAAAGAGGTTTAAATGAAATAGGGAAGCCATTTTGCAACAAGCAAATGGAAAAAGCACTAAGAAGTGAATGCAGGACCTCAGTGCAGAGAGAGTGTAGAGATAAGTGAGTAAACACTGTGAATGGAATAAGGTGAAGACCTCAGATAGCGAGCAGAAAGAAATGAAAGCAGAGATGTAGATAGGAAAGCTTTTTGAAGCATTGTCTAGATTGAGTTAGATTGGCTGAAAAGGATTTCATGGTATGGTACCTCCTACAGTGGGCCCTGTTCTGGAATGAAAAGCCAGGATGAAATTTTTTAGAAGGGAAGAGGAAAAAGAGGTAACAAGCCTGGGTAATATCATTGCTATCCTCTGTAAGGAAAAGGAGAAGCAAAACAAAAAAATGCCTGCTAACATTGTGAACCTTTATGGTGGGAGTGGGAGAGCATAAAATCATTATTTACAGTAGAGAAAGAAGAGACAACAGAGGTTTTGGAGGAAAATTAAGAACTTAATTCCAGTAAGACTGAGTTTGATGGCAAAAAGCTGGTCAAGAAGAGATGACAGACCATGCGTGTATATATATTTCTGCCCATTATGCCAACAATTTCCACTGTACAATGACAGCTGAACTGGACCACGTGGATGCTGGAGTTCCACTTGAAAGCTAGGGTCTTGTGAATAGCAAACCACAGCCTGTCCTAAAGTTAGAGGATAAAATTTGTCTGTGTTCCTGAATGTGGTATTGTAAAACTGGATACTAATTTTCATTCATTAATGTTTGATTCTAATGGAAGTCATCCCAATTAATATCTCAGAGATGTTTTTTCATTCTTCATATTTCATATCTTTAAGTGATGTAATCAAGAAAGGGTGTGACTTATCGCAGTGGAGATTAAGAATACACTACCCAGCTTTAAGTATGGATTTGCCAGAAAAATTATGCATGCCAGAGACTTGCATGGGGTCTTTGCTCTGGAATCCATTTTGTCTGAAGGAGAACACTTTCTAAGATGACACAAACCTCTAATTACAACCCTGACAGCTTCAGGTTTTTATCTTGGTTTAAATGATTTAAATGATTTAAATTAAATTTAAAAATTTAAATTGGTGATCCAGTGAAAGCAACACTCTTATTAGCACTGTTCAGTGGTGGGAAATCAAGAACTTAACCTAGTGGCTGGTTGTTCTCTTAAACTTGCATTTATCTGCTTAGCTTGGATTAATGTGTTATGCTTCTGATTGAGAACTTGCTTTATGAAAAATGGTTTTTGTGTTCTCCCCTCTGGGTTGTGATTGCAACACAGGCTTAATATTCCTCTGTTTGAAGACTTTTGATGATCATCACCATTCTTCAAATAATTGGAAACGTTGGAATATTAGCACATTGGAAATATTATGATACTTTTTTTTTTCAGACTCCTGAGTAGTTTTACATGTTTTAAAGAAAAAAACAATGCCAATGAGGCTGCAGCTAACAGACATACAAAAGACAAAATCTACTAGAAAACACAGAGGAGGAATTTTATTTTTTTTTAAACACAGTAAGACAAATTACTTGTTACTCGAGAGGGAAGAGAAACAAAGTCAAGAAATAAACAAAAGAAGGGCACAGCTCACAATAATGAAGTGGAATAAGGTTCAAAGACTTACTTAAATGTCAAAAGACAGCAGGAATAACTAAGCAGGAAGGGAGGAACAAATAACTTTTTTGTTTTAATCAAAGCATTAAAACCAGTTCTTTTCTAACTGAAATTATTATTTTTGCTAAAATGGAGAACCAAGAAGAAATCAATTGACTCACTTTCAGCCAAAGCAGCAACAATGAAGACTAGTCCTGGCATCCCTCACCCAAAACAATGAACAGTCCTGTCTCACTTTTGTTCCTGAGTTTGGTACCCAGAACCACGGTGTGGGATTTCCAGCTCGGAGCCACTCCCCTGCCCCGGGGAGTGCTGAACCTCTATCTGTTAGCGGTGTGTCCTAGGGACTCTGCTAGCAAGTATTTTGGGATGAACCACTGTGTGACGTTGATCCCGCTCTGCCTGAGTATTTATTCAACCAGTGAGCAAACATGAGTTCATAGCATATTAGTTAAGGCAGTCACTTGTTAGAAAATCTGGATCCTATTTGCTGCTCCCATGAATATTTAATTATCCTATGCAAAGTGGAACGGCAGTGAAACAGACTGGAGAACATTATGCACAAAATAAGTGGGGGGAGGAAGGGGAGGGTGTTCAGATGGATGATGATGGGGCAGTGTACTCCTGGAAAGTGATACATCTGGTTTTCAATCTCTCTTAGCAAGGGGAGGCAACTATGCCTAGATTTTCCTCTCTCTGCATGTTGCTGCATCACTGAACTGTTACATGAAAGGGGACAGGGAACTTCCTTCTCCCCTCAAGTGATATTCATCGGGAACTAGTTGGTGAATTGCAAATGATTTTGTAATGCCTGAAGGTGCCCTTTGGTTTCCCAAAACCAATTCAAGCAGACCAACAGTAATCCTGTGCGCCAGCGTTAACTCTGCTCTTTTTGGTTTTTCTCAGTTCCTGGCAGGCTGACAGAGACAGCTCTTGCCCTCTGTTATACTCTAGTCCCCTTGTTGTTACAGTGTCAAGACCACTCTACCATTTGAAATGTGGTGTCAGGCTTCTCACTACAACTGCTCATTTATCATGGTCAATAGTTTCCATAGCCACATCTTGAGAAGTTAGGATTGGAGGTGGAGGATTGTATCAATAAGCTTGAATTTTATCAGTAAGCTTTGTTGAAACCAGTATTTCCTTTCAGTCCACTGAAGAGCTTTGATGAATACAGAATTAAACATTTTTCCCCAGGTTTGCCTTCCCACTGAACATGTGTTGCCCTCAGTGATATGAACAAATCTCTTTCTTTGAATAAGATTTATTAGCCTTTAGATTACCTTTCTGCCCCCTATTTTCTCCGTGGGTGCACTGTTAGGCAGCTTGAGACAAATGTAAATTCTCTTTGATAGTATCTTTAAGTTTCACTAATTCTTGGAAATGCGTACTTCATGTTTGGATGAGCGTGGCACAGCGTGTTGCCCTCAGAGATATGAACAAATCTCTTTCTTTGAATAAGATTTATTAGCCTTTAGATTACCTTTCTGCCCCCTATTTTCTCCGTGGGTGCACTGTTAGGCAGCTTGAGACAAATGTAAATTCTCTTTGATAGTATCTTTAAGTTTCACTAATTCTTGGAAATGCGTACTTCATGTTTGGATGAGCGTGGCACAGAGAATACAAGAACCAAAGTCTGTTTTCTAACATGGCTGTTGATCTCATGGAGGCTTTGGGCTTGTCAGAAAGCAGCGCTTCTACACTATGATTATGCAGTGATTAAGCTCTATTCTCAGTTATACTTTAGACAAATATATTCACTATTAAAACATTTAAATATGCCATTGAAATATTTAAATTTTCTCTCACTAATGTGATAATCATAGTATGGTGTGGCATCCTAAAACTCTAAATTTTCATTGTTTATGAAAAAGATATGTGAAAATGCTGAAAGGTAAGTTTTGGCAAACTGATGGAATCTATTTAAAAGCAAACCAAAAGTGTTTCTCCATATGTTGGGAAGCATTGCCAAAGTAATTTGTTTTCCTTTCTATATTAGGTTTGTTTTATAAAATATACTTATCAAAGCCTATTGCAACACATAGAATACTTACAAATAAATAACATCACAAGATTTAGCCATATTTATTTAAATTAAACGTCTTCCCAAACCACATTACAGAAATCTTCTTTGTCGCCCTTAGGCAAACATCTGGATAAACAGTATGGATATGCTTACAATGTTCTTTGGAGGCCAAAGCCTCTTTTGAAGAAGCGGATATGTAACTAGAGAAACGAGCTAGGGGCGTGATGGTCCTGCAGAGTGATGAGAGAATTGATTCTCTTATTTTTAAGAAGAGGGAGGGTGTACGAGATCACATTCATTATGTCAGCTATACTGCTGTGATCTGTATCAAAAAAAGGAGACACAGAAATCCTAGCAAAAATTCCAAGCTGTGTCATTTCTAGGAAATTTTTTAACAGTGAACTGAAGTCTCAAGGGAATAGTTTCTAAATTTTCTAACCTCGTTCCTGTGGATTCTGCTCAGCATCTTTTTTTACAAAAGGGAGGGAACAAGCTCTTTCGTGGTGCTGAACTGAAGGTCCCAGTTGTACCACCATTTACACCTTTGCTCCACTGTATCACTGTGATAAAGTCTTGCCTTTATTCAATGATGTTAACCATATGCTTAGCTTTGTTCTTGTAATATATATAGGATCAGGTCTTAAAGAAGCCTGTTTGCTGTGGGGGGTACTTTAAGTATTTCTCTTGGCTGAAGTTTTCTATAGGAGGAGGACAAACTGGCTGCTTGTGGAGCCTGAGTGCTTGAAGTTGAGTGTAATTAAACCACTGATATGGCTGTACAACAGAAAGGTATCCAGATACACTACACATTGAACAACCTCTCATAAAAAGATAGTATGATCTGATACTAAATATTTTACTAGTTTTTAAGCCCTCTGTGAATACTTTGATTTTTTTTTTCTTAATCTGCTAGAACCCAGACAGACACAAATTCAGTTTTACAGAATGCCTTCCTGAAAGTATGAAGGCTATTAAAAAAAAAAAGTGCACGCACACACATGAATTCCCTTTCCCCCTTTACTTAAGAAAAGTGTATAGGTACCAGCCACCAAAAGGTAAGAGACAATGCTAAATTTAATTGTGTAAATAATCTCAGGAGTTAAATTTAGTTTTGTATGTTTTCTCTGTTGCTTGTAACTATTTTGTTAAACAAAATTAAAATTAATGTACGTAGCTTCCCACAGAAGAAATTTTAGAACATTTTACTCTTTTTTAAACTTGAAATGAATTTTATTACAATGCAAAACCCTGCAGCCATTGGCATTATCTTTTGTGGGGGCAAGTTGGCAGTAAAACACATTTCCCATTATCCCAGTTGTTTAGCGGCATTACTTCCTCTTGATATAAATGCACAAATCCCATAAAATTAAGAAAGTTTTATGGCTCTGAGATGCAGTGGGTTAGGAGTTGGGTGCTTGCTGCATGTCCTTACATATTTCTCTCCCTTTCATATTTAGTCCTGTCTTGTGGAGACACTAAAGAAAGGAAGATTCAATACTGGAAAGAAAGGGTGGACCCCCTGGCTTTCATCCGGCTGAATGAACACTGCAAGCATCCACTTCATAGGAAGCATTTAAGTAGTTCCGTGGGTGTTTGGAAATATAAAACAGTAAGGCTTGATTCTGTCCCTAGTTCAAATCATTGGCAAAATTCCCATGGTGAAGAACTGGAAACTAATTAGTGGGTAAAGCAAATATTATTGAATGTTACATAAGCACTAAATACAACTCTTCTTGCTGCTCAGCAAGACACAAGAGTATTTGCTGTCTGCAGAGTGTATCTATCTGATAAAATCTTAGAACTTGGACAGGGGAGGATCAAAACCACTCAAATGTTTAATGATCAACAGAAGCTACCTCTGAGAAAAGAAAACACTAGAAGAGAATGTTAAACAAGCCAATGGCAGTTTGCCTTTTATATATGTAATAAACTGCAGGACTTAGACCTTCAGACTGGAAAGGAGAATTGGAGTCACAAAGCACAAATAGTAGTAAATAGATAAACAATAAAAATTAGTGTATGTCAGCTTTTCTAATGTGTTTTTCCTTATGACGTTGGGAACAATTGCTAAATACAAGCTATGTAAAAGCAAACAAAACAAAGAACACTGTTTTTGGCAGGTTCCCACAATCATTATGGGACAACGTTAATGTTAAAAAAGTAAGTAAATAAATGTAAATTTTAATCAAATAATTAAAATGGCACTTATAAGCTCTTACCAAACCGAGAAAAGCCAAGCTGTTAGGTCTTAAAATCAAAATAATTTTGTGTTCCTTTGAGACTAGTTAGAAACGGAATCAAACTACTTGCTACCTCTGCTCTTTCTTAAGCACTGCATGGGCATCAGCACTTCTGTGAAAACGTTTAATCTTTTACTTGTGTTGATGAACTCTTGTACCGCAATGGTAGTTTCCTTCGGGTTAATTTGGTCCCAATACAATGTCCGTTTGAGCCAATGGAGATAAACTTCCTGGCATCAGTAGGCAATGTGTTAGGCAGTATTGCAAGTGCTGACTTAAAGGTACATGGAGACTTTTAGTAAAGGACCCCTCTCTCATATGAGGCATGTGTATATATTAGGTCAGATCCTCAAGATCCACACACATTATGTCAATAGGGTGAACTGGACTTTTCATCACAAAAGCCAAGGTTTACAGGAGAATTTAATAGTACTCAGAACATTCACACTCAGGAACTATGGCCACTGCTGTCTTACTGGCTTTTCATTGTCAAAAGACATAAGAATACCCTGGAATAAAATTACTATCACTTGGTATTCTGCATGGATACCAAAGAAAGCACTGACAATCCAAGTGTAAGCCAGCATACGTATTATTTTTCCCAGACAGTATGACAGTAACAAGAGAGAATAAACTCTTCAAACAAACAAGAGAGAATGCAAGTAGTGCCCCACAATTTTTTTGAGGAATGGTGTCAGGTGACATCATTCTCTATTTACCGTTTCCCCTTCAGTTGTGTTGTTTTGCTATGAGCCCAGTCACTGCAACATGCATACCTACGGGAAAGGGAGAAGGATTCTGCCTCACAACTGGGCAGCAATAACTCTGACTGACTTAGAAGCCATATAATTCTATTTTTATGCCAATAAATCGAAATACGGTTATAGCATAGATAAGCGGTGAGCAAAGACTGTGCTAGCTTAAGCTCAGTGAAATATGAGCGTTAATTTTACGGCTTCTGAAGCAGAGGTAGATCACATCTGAGAGGACTTGGAGCATGGACAGAGTTGGTGTGTGACAATCTTCATTAATGAAGTAGATACAGTCTAATCTTAAATATTCCAACAGCTGTGCTCCTATGGAGTTGAATGGAGGACCTGTTACTGCTTCCTTGCTTTCTGTGAAAAAAGATTACCTGATTTTCCATATTTGATGCCTGATAAATACTTTATAGTATAAAGTAACCCTGAATTCAAATTAGGTCTATACATTAGACTTTGTTTCTTACACACAGTGTGGTGTACATAATATTTTAATTCAGCAGTGTTATTGAATAGTGTTGAATAAACATAATGAATTGAGGCTAGTTAGGTTTTGCTCAGTATGTGGCAGTACTGAAACCTGAAAAAAAATATTTACATTATGCTCAAGATTAATAAATATGAGACTGATAGGTTAGGAAAATTACTGAATTTTTCATTAAACTGAGTTTAAAAAAGCAAATGAAAGTTGTGGTCCTTTGATACTACTTTGGTTGCTATGATGAAAACCAGGCCAAAATGGAAATTAACAGGGAAGAGCCATAAGAAAGAAGAAAAAGTGTGACTTATCAGTACGATTCATTTATTTTAGAAACAAACCAGTGAGTAGAAAGTGTTTATACAGAAAATATTCTTACCTGCCAAAGACGAGATATTAATGATTACGCCTCCGTCGCCTCCATTTCCTTTTCTCATGTATTCAAGGCCGAGGTAGGTTCCTCTAATCACAGATGTCTGATATAGGGGGGAAAGGGATGATTATATTCAAAATATGTTTCTATTGTGCTCCTAAAAACTGAATGTTGCTTTAATTGTGGTGCCTAGAACCTGTATTGCTCTACCAGTGATCTTATTTATACTTGGAAGATTATAAACACAGATGACATCCCACAGTAATGCAACTCATTAACTTCAGAAGCACAACTGCAATGCATAGAAATAATAGCAGCTTAATTATTTTTCTTATTAAGATATCAATAATCAAACTCAAATGTTGCAATGTGAAATAAATGCTGTGAAGGGAAGGAAATACAGAATAAGTAAATAATTTATAGATGAAACACACACTTCATCTGAGGATATGTGGTGGATGAACTGATCCAATTCCCAGCATTTTTATTGAGACAAGCTGCTCTACATTATAAAAAAATGTACCGAGTGAATCTGAAGATAACACTAACACTTATAACTCCATTTGGCTCAAGGCATGAGATCCCTTTTTAGGATTAAGGTATGTTATATTTCTGGTCCCAGGATATTAAAAACCTGTATTCTTTTCTGGCTGAAGTTACTGGAGTTTTACCGTTCTTCTCAGCAGAAGGCTAACCCAAACAGACAAATACAGACAAGGTAAAAAAGCACTTGAAGAGGTGTGAAACATGGTGTTAGCATAATATTAGCTGCAGCATGTGATTTTTAATTTTTTTTTTTAAAGAAAGATCTTTGAGGAAGAAAATTTTACTGACACCTGTATGATCTTGATTCCTTAAGATCTGTTTTTGAACCCTGCTGGGGTCAGAACTTCTGCTGGGATTCATCTCACCAAACTTCAGACATTTAAACTGAGACGCCTAAAGATACACTGAGCCTGGGGTTATCAGCCTCCTAAACGAATCAAATGGTTGAGTCTTTCCCAGAGAGTAAGTCACTTTACCAGAGACTTTAACAACTGATAATAGGAAGGCAGCAGACAGTGCTGCTAGTGGAAGATACTAACTTTAGTGAGATGTTGCGGTATTACTGCATTAGTGATGAGTTTCATAATTATTTACTGATTTTTGTTAGATCTCTCCATAATCAGTTCACATTTGGTTTACAATTTCTACTTAAAATGAACAAATGTATTGGGTTACTTTTATTTTCTGGAAATATTATTTCAGTTTTTAAATGACAACTCCACTCCATTTATATTTTATTACTGTTTAGTGTGATTTATTTGACACAAATAAATTAAGATGTTCAAAAGATGAAGTGGCCCTACAAATATGTTCACATCTGTGCACAATTATTTCGCTGAGAGTTTTGACCAGGGAAGGTCTACAGAATTGTGAATCATGGAGAAGGATATCTCCCAAAGTAATAAAAAAACACAGTAAAAAAAAAAAAAAGTATATGACTAATACCTAATGGATAGTGGCTAGGTGTACTGGAAAGAAAAACCTTTTAAAATCAGAACATTAAGTATTTTTCTACCATTATCTAAATTCCCAAACCTAAATTGGAATAATTTAAAGACACGTATTACATTTCATTTTTATTAGCGATAGTTTTAGACATATGTGTTACAAAACATAAAGTAAAAGTCCTAATTCAAGTTCAGTTGCTCTTTGCACTTATTGGTTTTAACAGGAATCAGATTTGGAAGACTGCATGTCCTGCTTTATTAATATTGCTTGCTTGTTGCCCAAGTAACATGAAGTTAAGCTGCCCATTGACAGAGATAAAACAACTTGAGACCTCATTACCAAGTTTGCTTTGGAATTTTGATAAAGAATCAGCTTTCTTCATTTTCTATAGTTGCAGCATTTTATGTGATATTTTCAATATCAATGTATTTTCAGTGTACCAATTTTCTGAAATAATGTAAAAAAAAAAATCACAAAATATGCATAGTTCAAAATTCTGAAATAACATTTTAAACTTTTCTTAAAAAAAAATTCCCATAAAAAGCTTTTTTGTTTCTCTCCTGGAAGGTTTTGTCTTAAGTAACATACTTCTTAAAATGTTTTGATTAATTTCAAAAGAATGTTATTGAATAAATTTTTTAACAGAAACTTTCCAACAAACTGTCTTCAATGGCTTGTAAAATACCAAACTAAATCTGATTTCTCTCGCATGTCCTGGAAAAATTCAGAGCCGTTATAAATGTAGTCAAGTTGTTTAATGTTGATTGTCACACGTAAATTTTAAAGGATTTATTGAAAAACAAGATCATTAATGCCCAGTAGTGTTGCTGTAAGGTATACTTAGTCTGAACATAAACTTGTTGGCAGCTCAACTGAAATTAGACTTGGACTTAAGAGGGGGTGGTGCTTTTTAATATATACATATAATAGGCTGTACAGAAGACATTTTAGAAAGGAAGGGGTTAATATTGTCTATGGAGAGCAGGTGCCGGTCCTATCATGCCCTGGAGCAGTGGCTCAGCCTGCTGAACAGAAAAAAGAGAATTCCACTTAGGATGATTAGAGGAAATAAATCAGGTGGAGAAGGAAGTAGCTTGGGGCTCCTTCAGAATTTTTCTATTCCTCCAGCCTTCTCATTCAAAGAGATAATAGAGCTAGATGAGTCTTTGGCCAAACCACAATTATAAGACAAGGAAAAAGTGGGTAGTTTGGCTCTCCTGTCAAAATCACTGTACTGCTCTTTTTTCCCTTTAGACTCCGTTAACTTAGCATTTCTTCAAGTGGCTGGGGAAGACTTCTCCTTTACATAGGTATTGTGAGAGGTTGTCTTCAGAATTAATGCAGACTTTCATTCGGATATTGCCCTTACACCTGCTGTTATCCTTGCAAAAAAACTTCTCATCGAGTGTGGCTGATCTCAGGTGACATGGCTATTTCTGATGTTTGGGCTGGTAACATAAAGAATTATTCTGGAGATAAACTCTGAACCAAATATACAGGTGAGAAGAACCTAGCTGTCTGCACACTCAGCAGATGGCACTTCAGATGAAAGGCGTTGTGTGATAGATCTCCCATTCTCTTGCCAGAATTCACCTCTCTCCAAGAGAGAAAGTCCTCTCAATAGTTCTCCAAGGAAGAACAGCAGTGGCTGAACTTACTGTAGTACGAAAGTCGTACAACGTGTGCTTAGAAGTCTTAGTGCCACTTTCCAGTCAAGCCTGTCAATCCAGCTGAGTTGGTAAAGTGAAGCTGGCTCTCGTATCTGGGTGCCAAACACTCATAATGGGAAAGAGTTTTTTTCCAAAGAGCAGTAGTCTTTGGACTATTGTTTTCCAAAGAACAATAGCATATTGTTTTTTGTTTTTGTTATGAAATCCATCTTTGCAAGTGAATAAATTGCAGCCTCAGGCCTCCTCTCATATGAAATGCAACTTTGGATTCCTATTTGTTGACGTCAGAACACTTAATGTGAATTCTAGAAGAAAGCTTATCAGCTATTACTTCACTCTACCATGAAATACACAACAGAAAGTAAAACAGGCAAAGAATGATGTGCAGCCCAGTTTCCTGGTTTTGGGGTATGTTGAAAAATGTCTGCAATTTGCCTTTCAATAAACTCAGAAAAACTAAAGGTATCTTCAGACTGTGTAGTTCTCCGTGTATACTTTTAAGAATAATAATTTGATCTTATGCTCTGAACCAACAATAATTCATAGTTTGTCTATTGCAAATAGAAATTCTGGGAAAGTTAACATTTAAAATTACCTAATTTTTAAAAAAAAAAAGTCTGACTTCTTTTAAGATGAAAATGTGCTGCAAGACTTAACTTAGTACAACAAAGCATGTTGCATTTTAGAGTTGAATTTTTTTACAATTCCTTTGTTTACAACTGCATTTAGCTGAATGGATACTGTCCATAAACACATCAAGAACAGAGTAGGAAAGTAGTCAAATTTGCAATTAAATGCAGGTAAAGCGAAAACTGGGACAGCTGACTCTCACCTAGTTTTTTTGCTCCTGGCTAATGAAAACTAGTGTCATTAAAATCAGAAAATAATCTAAGTGTTTGTCCTCCCAGCTGTTGAAAAACCTGTGATCTTAGTGATACTGCTGTTTGTTTTCTTACCAAAATACAGTGTTTTACGATAGCACATTATGAAGGTGGACCATCAAGGTGCACTGCAGGTCTAAGTGTGCTCCCAAGAGAGGCAATTTTACTCTTCAACCGCCAGTAGAAAATTTAGGATTCTTTCCAATGAAGTTATAATAGTGATTGTGGGAATCTGTCCTAGTATTAACTTCCATAAATTACAGATTTAAATTAGAGGAGATCAGACATTCTGAAGCACCATACAGTAATAAACCCCAAACTTAGTATTTGACAGCATGGTAAAGTTCACAAAATAATTGTGCAAATACTCGAAACATTTGCAGTTGCTTTTGATAGTATCGTATCAGTAATCAGTAACTTATTTAACAAATTGTTAAATGGCAATCTAGATATCAGTGTCAAAATCAGAAACAAAACTTACAAAATTTGCAATTCTTGACATTTCTGTGTATCCCACAGCTGTATAGTTTTAATTGTATTGTTCTAAAAGAAATCATATATTGAAACTCTGATTCTAATAAGATTCCAAGTGTTCAATAGAGACCTAATTCATTTTTTTCTGGTGTTAGGAACCAGTGTAAGCCAATGTTGTACAATGTTTTTGTATTCCAACATTACACCTGTAAGTCAATTTTCATACTCCATGTTTCATTTTATCTTGATCTACTATAAAAAAAAAGTGTTCTTCAGTGATGGTGCCCAGAACATCATTAATCATCATCCTTTGTAAGTGACAACTGCTTTGAAAGTAATTTAGTACACAGTGCTTTTTTTCCTAGTGGTTCAAGGCAGGTGTTCCAACTGACATAGTTTCTTATACCTACTTAATAAAGTTTCCCTTGCCACCTCATCTGACACTTCTGCTGTCTCCTTATGCATGCTAATGTTTTATGCTGAGAAACTATATCTGCATTCCTTCAGTGCTGAAGATGACTATTGTTAGCAAGGTGATAAGACAATATGAATTCCTTTGAGACAACGAAATGATAATCAGTCCT